TTTTGTGGAAGCCTGAAAAATAGACTGACAAATACTTCCCAGCTTTCGTGATGTATTAAATTTTGTATATTCCAGGTTCAACACATTTTAACAAATGGTTCACTTCATTTTCCACCATTTGCTGCAGAGGAATTCCGACAAGATGTTCACTGGGCGATATATCGTTGTTCAGCATCCAACAGCATCGGTACTATAATATCCAGGGATGTGGTTGTAAAAGCAGGTTTGTGCTTTTAATTTGATCAGTTTTGGTCCAACAAACTGGAAATTTATTCCTACTGGGTTTTCTCTCTTTCGAAATCCCAATAGGAATAATGTCTAAAATAATTTTCTTTTCGCTAAGTACGTATTTACCTGCATTTGTATGCACCTTTTTGTACAAATCCCATTCAAAGACAAGTACGAAATCTTTAGTTAATTTTAAATACGCCCTTTACAACACACACACACACAGAAAAAAAATAAAAATGTGTATGGAGAAAGGAGCATGAGCAACCAGTTCTCATTTTTGACTGAAAATATCCAATCGAGTTACATACAGATGCAAGTTGTAGCGGTTGCTAACAACGTTCATGTTTGAGTAGAAGTATTCATATACGATTTTGGACACTTTGTATACAATTTAATTAATTATAATAGCCATATCTTTATCAATTAAAGCGGAATGAGTATTATTTAATCTCTAAAAACCGATTGTAACATTATTATTTATTTTTTATTTTATAGTGGTGTATCAGCATTATGAGCCTGAGGTGCAAAATCCTGGTGGATTTATTGGTAGTAATGTCCTGATTAAATGTAACATTCCGTCGTTCGTCAAGGAATACGTAACAGTGACATCCTGGTTGCAAGAACCAAACTTTAATATCTATCCATCTCTAGAAGGAGGTAAGTGCATTCCAAAAGGCAATAATAATACTTGCCTCTCTCAGTTATTTCTTAAATCTAATCTTGAATTTAATATTGCTTCAATGAAGACGGTAAAAATCATATGCTACCGACTGGCGAACTTTTACTATATAACATAACAAGAGATGATTCCCAAAAGATTTACCGTTGTCGAACGCATCACAAATTAACACAGGACTCAAAAGTCAGCAGTAACGCCGGCAAAATTCAGTTAACAGGTGGGTCTAGCGATACTATCTAATATACATTACACAGATAATCACTAAATGTTTTTATGACCTGAATTGAACATTTTAAACAAGAATAGAGTACAGAAATACATTAAGTATTCATTTATAATTTAAACTGCTAAACATTAAACTTCTCAACTCACAGTGTGTGGTTGTACATTACATTAATTCTGGAAGTTATTGATTAGAAAATGTATAATATTTTAAGAATTCGTCTGTACAAAGTAAAGCCAACAGCTGTTCTTTAACGATTGTTTCTATGATTTTTCGTAAAACGCTGATTAACACGCCTATTCATATGTGGTTGGGGTTCATAAGTACTTATGTATGATTTTAAACATTTTAAGAGAATTATATTATTCTTGCTTCTTTCTTAGAAATGCGAGAGCTTGTTCCGCCAATAATGAATGAAAAACAAATTTCTCTATTGGCCAGAGTTGGAGATCCATTAGTTTTAGCATGTGTGGCTTATGCAAATCCAAAACCAACTTACAGGTAAGACAATCTATGATGTTAAAAATATTACCTTTTTTTCTTGAAAATGGGAAATCAGGGTATAATGGTTTAGTTAAAAGTATGTAGCAGGCAGAAGGAGGCGTGTCAGACCCCATAAAGTATATATGTATATTCTTGATCAGGGCGACGAACTGAGTCGATTTGGCCCTGTCCGTCTGTCTGTCTGTCCGTCCGTCCGTCTGTCCGTATTTATGAATGCGTCGATCTCAGAAGATATAAATACATACATATCCATATTATAATCATTATCTCAAAGTTTTATGATGTTACCCCACCCTCAGAAGTTATTAAACAGTTAAGTTCCCATAGCAAGCCCATCTGCCGCCAATGCGTGTTTATGCGTGCGCTCGTATACCTGTGTATGTACGTGTGTGTGTGTGTGTATGTATGTGCGAATTATTATTGAAATATCTGTTGCTCGAAGGGTTCAGAGGGTCTCGTAGTCGAGCAGTCTCGACTCGAGCTTTCTTGTTGATGAATATTCGTTATCCTAATCGACAATATACAAATATATGTACATATCATGATACAAAAAAGACCCCCGCCTAATATTGTAAAGTTAGTTTAATTAGTAATTATTTAAAAAAAAAAAAAGCCTTTAAGAAAAGTGATTTACTGTTTTACTGTACTTTCTCTCTGCCATCTATTAAATGCTTCAAGTGAATGCACTTCAGTATATCAACGAAATTTGTTAAAATACATCCTTTCCATAATTATTCTTGTCTGTGTCGCTCTGGCAACATCTCCTCATGCTGCCATGCACCCATGCTCCGATGGTCCTTGTTAGGGTAAGTCTGTCTCTTGGTTCTGGCAACTTCACTTAAATGACGTGGAGTTTTTCTCAGTATCTACATACATACAAGCATTTACATACATATGTACATATGCATGCATGCCTGTATATAGTCCATGCATTAGTATGTATACATGTATGCATACACATGTACAAATGTATGACCAAACGTTTAGCCCAGGACGAGTCGTCAACGACGTAAGGGTTTGCTTTGTTTTATTTGCGATGTTCTCCTCTTGAGTTTTTCTGCATGATGTTTTTCTTTGGCCTGTGACTTTATGGTGTGTGACTGTATATACATACATATGTATGTACATATGTATGTATATACATGTATGTGTGTTTTCATTTATGTATGTACATTCATATGTTCATTTACGAATATAGACTTTCAGTTGCATGTACAAGCACCTACATACATACATATGTACAGGTACAATAAATGTATGTTGGATGTGTAGCACACATGTAAGGGGTAAGCATAAAATAGATACATATGTACATGCATTGACTTTTGCAAGCACATACAAATGTACACATACATACATACATATGTGGGTACCAAAAACTTTACTGCATGCTAGTCCTTCAGTTTTCGTTCATGACCAAATCTATGTTTATATGTATGCACATACATATGTACATATGTATATATTTTATGTATATATACATATAACACATAATGCAAGCGAATTACCAAAAATGAATTTGTAAAGACGTGTCAAAATATTTTTGTCCAGCCAACGACTGACAATCTGCCATGCAAATAATTATAAAAAAAAGAATGGGTTATGTTAGCAATGCAACATTTTGGGCATTTATAGTTTTTTATGTTGGCTCTCTCTGAAAAATAAAGTTGGTACCGTTACCTCTCTCAGTACGCAAAAATAAGCGGTTTATGTTTATGCAATACTTTTTTCCTCCATTGTACCACTAACCAGATAGCTCTCTGGTTAGTGATTGTACATATGTACATATGTACATATGTATGTACAGTGGCTTGCAGCTTATTTCGTGCAACGGTGTAGTACAATTCTAAGGCCGTAACCCTGCTAAGCCAGTAGAGATATTCAACAAATTTGAATGGGGTCTTATTTATCTGTCTTTCAATTTGTATTAACACACTTCACTATTTTTCTGTTCCAACAAATAACATTTAAGACTAAAGAAAACTAAAATAACTGGCCTTTTATACCCTGAACCAATTGAAAATGGGAAATCCGGGTATAATATATCAGGCAGAAGGAGGCGTGGCAGACCCCACAAAGTATAAATATTCTTGATCAGGGC